GGAGCCCCACATGGGGCTCCATCTCACGACCCTGAGATCAAAACCTGAGCTCAAACCAAGAACTGGTCGCTCAACCGAATGAGCCACCCATGTGCCCCAGGGTACCTGGAGGAAAGGAGTGGGAGAAGGTATAGATGTGACTGAGTGAGTGGGTTCGTTGGGGGTTTGCACACAGTTAACATTGCTCTGACTGCCTTGGTTTTCTTGAGGAAGCTCTAGGTCCTGTGCTTGGCTCTGCTGGGGAATGGGCAGCTTTGGAAGAGTGGTGAGGACTGCGGGTTCTCACTGAGGCGAGTGGGTGAGGAAATGGAATCAGAAGAGAGGAGATGGCTGGCTGGAAGGTGTTCTGCTGCTGTAAGAAATTACCATAAACTTGGTCATAAGTCAACAGAAACTTACAGTTCTGCAGGCTAGAAGTCCAACACAGGTCTCACCGGGCCAGAATTGAGGTGTCACGGGATCTCCTTCGTGGACACTCTGTGGGAGAATTTGTCCTGGCTTTTTCCAGTTTCTAGAGGCTGCCTGCATTCTTTGGTGTGTAGCCCCTCCCTCCATCTCCAAAGCCATCAGGGGAGGGTTGGGTCCCTCTCACATCACATCACTCTGACCCTCTCTCTGCCTCCTTCTTCCACTTAAAAAAAAAAAGTCGAGTTGAGATGCATATACCATAAAATTAACCATTTTGAGGTCAACAATGAAGCGATATTTAGTGTGTTCACAATGTTGTGCAACAACCACTTCTATGTAGTTCCAAAGCATTTTCATCACCCCAAAAGGAAGCCCCATATGGGGGCGCCTGGGTGGCTCAGTTGGTTAAGCGACTGCCTTCGGCTCAGGTCATGATCCTGGAGTCCCTGGATCGAGTCCCGCGTCGGGCTCCCTGCTCGGCGGGGAGTCTGCTTCTCCCTCTGACCCTCCTCCCTCTCATGCTCTCTGTCTCTCATTCTCTCTGTCTCAAATAAATAAATAAAAATCTTAAAAAAAAAAAAAAGGAAGCCCCATATCCATTAAGCAGTTGGTCCCCATTCTTCTCTCTCTCCAACCCCTGATAACCACCCATCTGTGCTCTGTAACTTCATATTCACCTATTCCTTATAGTTCATATGAATGGACGCCAATGACATGTGACCTTTTATGTTTGGCTTCTCTCACTTAGCATACTGTTTTTGAGGCCCCCACCCCCACTTTGAAGGAGCCTTGGGAGGGGTAGAGGGGAAGGATAAGAGGCTAGGAAGGAATTGATAGTGGGAGGAATGAAGTGGGCCAGGGCAGGGCTCCCCGAACTTCAGGATGTATTCAACCACGGAGGAGTTTCAGCGGAGATCCTGATTTAAGGGATCCAGAAATTGGCCCAGGGGCTCCTGCTGCAGCCAGTGGGTGAGTTCACTCTGTGACGGATGTTGATGTCAATCCTGGAGGTCTTGAGGAGGTGAAAGAGTTGATATAATAGGAGTTAGAAATGAGGAGGGCTAAAGAGCCAGAGGCTGTCATCACACAGTAGGATTTTTTTTCTTTTTATTTATTTGAGAGAGAGAGAATGAGAGACAGAGAGCATGAGAGAAAGGAGGGTCAGAAGGAGAAGCAGACTCCCTGCTGAGCAGGGAGCCCGATGTGGGACTCGATCCCGGGACTCCAGGATCATGACCTGAGCCGAAGGCAGTCGCCCAACCAACTGAGCCACCCAGGCGCCCCACAGTAGGATTTTTTAAGCTGGAGAGTCCTTGAACCCCCTGAGCTCATTCCCACCTTCAGGCCTGCATGTTAGCCTCGCACAGTGCTATCCAGACCTATAATTGTGAGTGTTCTAGTACCCACATTTAAGAAATGTGGCCAAATTAATTTTAATAATATAGTCTACTTAACTCAACATAGCCAAAATATTATCATTCCATATATAATTATTATAAGATGATTGAGATATTTTCTTTTTTTTTTTTTAAAGATTTTATTTATTTATTTGAGAGAGAGAGAGAATGAGAGAGAGCACATGAGAGGGGGGAGGGTCAGAGGGAGAAGCAGACTCCCTGCCGAGCAGGGAGCCCGATGCGGGACTCGATCCAGGGACTCCAGGATCATGACCTGAGCGGAAGGCAGTTGCTTAACCAACTGAGCCACCCAGGCGCCCCGATTGAGATATTTTCATTCTTCTTTTTCAAAGTCCTGGAAATCCAGTGTGTATTTCACACCTGCATCACACCTTGGTTTGGACCAACTAGATTTCAAGTGCTCAACAGTGACACGTGGCTTGTGACTTCCTTACTGGTCAGCACAGGCTAGAATGTTCCTGCATGCCTGACTCCACCTCCTTGAGATCTCTGCTCAGAGACACCTTCCCTGACCACCCACCTTCTGCTCTTAGCCCTGCTTTTGTGTGTGTGTTGAGACTTCCCACTATTTGAGATTTTATTATTTGTTTGCTTATTCTCTGCCTCCCTGTAGGATATAAATCCCATGAGGGCAAAGACCTGTCTGTCTGCTTTAATATCGTATCCCCAGCAACTACATCACATCCACCATAGACTCACAGCAAATGTTTATCGAATGACTTTGAGGATCCCAGATTAGTCATTGGTTGTCTCTGAAGCTAACACGCATTCCGTGGAGTGTTGGGGGAGGAGGCCCGAGAGGGAGGATCATGATGCAAGAAATAAGGTGGGGGAAAGCCGGCCTGGACGCTTTCTGTGAGCTCAGAGGCTGACTCTCAGATGTGAAGTCAGAGGCCGGGTTTCTTGCCCGCTGTGTCCTGGCTGTGTGTGGATTCAACCACTGCCTTACGCTGTTCTGGGAAACCAGCCCACCGAATGGCACTTCTGCATGCCACCAGTAGATGGGGCAGCATCACACGAAAAAGCCTACGGTCTGATGCAGTTTCTGACCTGGTCCCCAACTGCCTTGGCTCATGTTGTTCCGGAACTGCCCTGTGTCTCAGGTCCGTGGTGTGGGCTCATAAATGGTGCCACCAGTTTTCCCGGCTGAAGAAACTCAGCCTCAGCTGTGACGAGGTGAGGCCGGCCCCAGAGGCCAGCCCAGGCCCAGGCCCAGCTCCAGGCCCCAGGTCCAGGCTGGCAAGAGACAGCCTGGTCCTCCTCCTCCTGGGTCTGTGAGCACCAGCGCAGATACTGACTCACACGTCAGAGTGCTCACATTTGCCTAGAACCTTTCTGTCCTCCCGAGGTTGAAAACAAATTATGGAGAAGGTAGTCCAGGCGTGGCGGAGACCATTCCACAGGAGCAGCTCTATGGGCCTCCGCACCCAGAACTGATGCCCTCGCTGCCTCGGAGAAGCTGGGCCTGCCAGTGGACTCCTCCCTGCCATTGTGGTCTACGGCTCTCCCTGCTACCTACCGTGTGATGCCCGAGGCGGTGCCCTTGCAGAAGCTGAGACCAGCCTTGGCTCCCACCACTGGTCCTTCCTTGTCTTCCCCAAACCCTTCTGAGCCTTGGACCTCCAAGCAACTTGGAAATGGTACCTGCTTGAACATGACATCTACTATTGTAGAGTTTAGACTTCGAGATTATGGACCAGCTAATGGTCACTTAACACAGGTTAATCTGGTATGTTTTTTTACCAGACTTTTCGGTTTGGAGCAATACAGTCTACCTGATTGCCACCACAAGATTTTCCAGAAAGTTGAGCAGAAGAGGAGTTCACTTTGGCTTAAATGGCTTATTATAGTCCTGACTAGTTCATTCCAGCACAAGGCCTGATATCCCTCCTTTAGCCCATTAGTGCAGCTGGGGGGTAAGGCATCACAGCTCTGGTCTAATGAAACCCTGGGGCAAGAGTCAGCCGTAAAAAGGCCATTCCTTCTCTCAGATACTAGGGGGGCCCAAAAAGCACCATCGGGAAACTTTCTACTCTCATTGTTATAATCATTAAACTCCATCCCAATCTGCACGTGTGCATGCATTTTCGTGTCCTATAATTCTGCTGTCCTCTATGTCCTGAAAGCCCTTTAGTTCTTCCCTGCTTGGAGAAAGCCTGCTCATTCTTCAGACATCACCTTCTGTGGAGCCTTTTCTGATTTTCCTACTCAAAACGAACCTTCTCTTCTTCCAGCTTCTCATAGTACTTTGGGTCTTTCTCAGGGCACGTAGCTCTGTCTTCCCATTCACATGCATGTCTCATTCATTAATTCAACAATCAAGTGGTGTCTATTTGTGTACCAGGCACTGGGGGACACAGGGTGCTCTCCTAGTTTCAGTGGAAGCCCAGAGCTGGGTGCAATTTACATCCTTCATTGGACTGGGAGCTCCTTGGAGATAGGAACTGGGTCTGCTCCTGGCTCAGGGCCTGGCACCAAAAAGTACTCAGAAAAGTTACATTGAAACTCAGCACCAACGAGTCTGAGAAAATTGGGTTAGAATTCAGAAAAGGTTATTTAAATTTCAGAGAAAGGTTAAAAGTTAGCAAAGGTAGTTCTCCAGAGAATTTCCAGGAGGGGCTACGGTGGTGGTTCTGAAATCAGTGGTTTTGGCATGGAAGCCAAAGATACCCAAGATCCCCAGTGGATGGGGCCTGTGGAGTAAAGGGGTCCACTCTCCTCCTCCAGGATGAACTTGGGAGTTTGATGCAGGATCATCTGGACATTTATCACACATTCCAGCTTGAAGGTTTTTTTTTGCTTTGACTGAGCAGACCATAGAGGCAAGCAGGTTGTTTTGAGGGTCCAGAAATGAGTTATCAGCCAAGGGTCAAGCTGGTCAGATGACTGAAGCTACACTGTTCAGTCAGTCAGCATAGGCGAAAAGCATAATAATGTGATTGTCATTCCTAGTGGATGGTGGCTGAGCATTATTAGACAGTGAAATAAAAAAAGGTCATTTGGATTTTTACTAGGAATTCTTATCCAAAATGTGTCAATGATGTAATAAAACTGAATGACTGACCTGCCAAAATAAAATGAGTTCTAACCACACATAAGCGTTACTTAGAAATTGTATGGGTCTCAGAAAACTCTTCTCTGAGGCCTGAGAGCAGGAGGGGCTACTGCTAGGGATTAGGCGCAGGAAGCACTTTATTTATGGGCTATATACCATATTGTTCACTCCAATCACCGCATTATGTTCATCTCACTTCTCACTATCTGCTTGTCTGTGGAGAAAGGGCTCCCAGATCCTAAAAGAGAAGTCTCGCTGTTTTCCTTGCTTCTATTACCTTTAATGAAAAAAAAAAAAAAAAAAAAAAAAAAACAACTGTGAAAAAAAAAATTTAAACAGCACCCAGTCATTCTCAGAGATCTGTCACACATGGAAAGAACCACTATTTCCCCAACCTTTTTACACAGTAAATTAGTCTAAATCCCACGTTCTACCACTTCCCCAGAAGTTCCGATGTAGACGTACATTTATTTAGTGAGTTGCAATTCAGCCCGAGGGTGGAGTGTCAGAATTCAAGTTGCTTTTCCCAAGGGGTAACCCCGGGTCTTGGCGATACCTGTAGATAAATGAGATGCTGGTAAATTTGAGATGTAATTGCGGGATTGGACTAGTTTCCCCTTTCCCTCGACAAATGGCTGCAACTAGGTCCCTTTAAGAGACCAGGGACCCGCCGGGCGTCCGAGCCCGAAACGCATCCTCTTCTCGGCTCCTCCCCTGTCCCCGAGCAGCGAATGGTTCGCGCCGGCCTATATTTACCCGAGATCTTGCTCCCGGACCGCAAGGATGTGAGGCTGGCGAGCCAGTTACCGCTCGCAGCACGGGACGGGCGCGCCGCCAGGGCCCGCAGCAGACCTCGGGGACCTCGGGAGCGGAGTCGGACACCCCCGGAGGGAAGAAATGAGGTAGCGACCGTCCCGGAGCCAACCATGCGCGCGCCCCACCCTCGGCGCCCCGCGCTGCCCCGGCCGAGCCAGCCGGGACAGTGAGCCCGCCGAGCCTGAGTCCCCGCGTCGGGCCGGGGCGAAGATGCAGTGAGCCACAGGCGGAGTGCTGCGCCGGGCCCGCCGCGGCCAGCCGGGGCAGCATCTGACTGCACTCCCGGCAAGCCGCGCATTCTGGGACCAGCCCAGCCGAGGGGCTCTCGGGCTCCAACACCCCTTGGGGGCGGGGAGTACTGGCCGCTGGGCACACTCGCTATCGAGTTTCCGCGGTTTCTGGTCCCAGTCCTGGGGAGTGTGTGTTTGTGTGTGTGTGTGAGAGAGAGAGAGCGAGGGCGGTGGGCCTTTCCAGGTTCACCGAGGAGTTCCTGCATATTCTCGCCCCGTCCCGGCTGCTTTGGCTGGGGCACCCTCTGTTTGCGCGCGCGCATCTCTTTTTAACGTTCCACTCTGATTTCGTCTTTCTCTCATTTTGTTTGCCTAAGACTCTTTGCCCTCGTCCTTGTCCTGGCTGGGGTAAATCTGTGCGCGCTTTCCTCCTCCCTCCGCCCCCTCGCAGCTGAATATTTTCGTCTCTTTTAAAATTTGTACCCGTACCCCCTTCGGCGGGGTCCCTGAGCACGATACTCCCTAACCCCCTCTCTACCACTGGGCCACTCCCAGCAGAGTTTTATTTTTCTGCCTTGCCCGGGCCGAGCCCGGCCGGGGCGGGTGGCTCAGCGGGTCTTGTACCCCGCGCTCCGCCGCCGCCGCCCAGCTGCGCGGGGGCGCCCTCCGGAGATGCTGCCGTGGAAGAAGCACAAGTTCGAGCTGCTGGCCGAGGCGCCGCCACGGCAGGCGTCCAAGCCCAAGGGCTACGCGGTGAGCCTGCACTACTCGGCGCTCAGCTCGCTGGCGCGGGCGTGCCCCGAAGGCGCGCTCAGCCGGGTGGGCAGCATGTTCCGCTCCAAGCGCAAGAAGCTGCACATCACCAGCGAGGACCCCACTTACACCGTGCTCTACTTGGGCAATGCCACCACCATCCAGGCGCGCGGCGACGGCTGCACTGACCTAGCGGTGGGCAAGATCTGGAGCAAGAGCGAGGCGGGTCGTCAGGGCACCAAGATGAAGCTGACTGTGAGTGCGCAGGGTATCCGCATGGTGCACGCCGAGGAGCGCGCGCTGCGCCGCCCGGGCCACCTCTACCTGCTGCACCGCGTTACCTATTGCGTGGCAGACGCGCGGCTGCCCAAGGTCTTCGCCTGGGTATACCGGCACGAGCTCAAGCACAAGGCGGTAATGCTGCGCTGCCACGCGGTGCTGGTGTCCAAGCCCGAGAAAGCGCAGGCCATGGCCCTGCTGTTGTACCAGACGTCGGCCAACGCACTGGCGGAATTTAAACGGCTCAAGCGGAGGGACGATGCGCGTCACCAGCAGCAGGAGCTGGTGGGCGCGCACACCATCCCGCTAGTGCCGCTGCGCAAGCTGCTCCTGCACGGACCCTGCTGCTACAAGCCACCGGTGGAACGCAGCCGCAGCGCGCCCAAGCTGGGCTCCATCACCGAGGACTTGCTCGGCGAACAGCAGGAGCAGGAGCTGCAGGAGGAAGAGGAAGAGGAGCACACGGAGGGCTGCCTGGAGGAGGAGGAGGAGGAGGAGGACGAGGAGGAGGAGGAGGAGGAGGACGAGGACGGTGCTGAGGACGGACACCCGGCAGTGGAAGAGGCCAAGGCGCAGCGGGCGCTGGTGGTGGCTATGCACTTGGAATGCGGGGACTTGCTGGACACGCTGGAGAGTGGCCGCGAGGAGGCGCTAGGGGGCGGCGGGGTCTCCCTGGGCCCTGGGGCTGGGCCGTCGCCTCTGCTGCTGGGCAGCGCCTCCGACATGAAGGCCGAGCTGTCCCAGCTTATTAACGACCTGGGAGAGCTCAGCTTCGGCAACGACGTGCGCAGCCTGCAGGCCGACCTGCGGGTGACGCGCCTGCTGTCCGGCGAGAGCACCGGCAGCGAGAGCTCCATCGAAGGCGGGGGCCCGGACGCCACCTCTGCCACCGCCGGGGACCGGTCGGGCCCTACTGACGGCGCCAACCCAGAGGAGCCCCACTCGGGTTGAGACCTCAGCAGCCCCCTGCGCGCGCCCCTGGCGCCCCGCCGTGACTCCCCACCCGTCTTTTGGACAGCCCCCTTCTCCTGCCTTCCCCGCCCGCCCCCAGGAAAGGGGAAACGGGACACTTGAGGCCCAGAGTTACCCTGGCCCTCTCCTGCAGCACATTTGGCTCTGTTAGAAGCGGGGCTCAGGTTGCGCGTGGAGATGTGCGAGGGGGCAAAGTGCACGGAGGGAGAGAGAGGCAGGGCCCTGGGGGCCGGGGGTGGGGGTGGTGAGGGAAGGGCCCGCTGGTTAGCCAAGTCCTACCGGCCAGGGATGCCTGTCTGCCGGCCAGTTTCCTGTTTGTGGGGCAGCTGGGGCCTGAGGAGGAGGGGTTAATTTCCTCCCCTGACAGACCCAATAACAGGGAGCCGCCTAGCGCTGTCACTGACTTGTCATTAAAAAACATTTTTTTTTTCCTGCTCTCACAACGTTCGAGGCTGAAATGCCACCTCCTTGCCCCCAGTCTTTTTGGTGCGAGAGCTTGGGTTGTTTACCTCAGACTCAGACCCTTGAAATTCTGCCAAATTCCTCAAATAACTGTTTGGGGGTGGTGGTGGTGGTGGGGGGGAAATGAAAAAAAGTTGCATTTTGTTTACAGTTAAAGACATCTAGTATCTTTAAAAAAGGAGTTTTCCTTTAAAAACACACACACCTCCCTCCTGCTCAAACGATCTCCCTCCATGATACTGTGTAACGTATTTGCACTGTTGTGAAGTATTTTTGACATTTTTTTTTGTACATAACTGTGTTCTCGGAGTTAAATGTTTTTATCTTTTGCTGTGCAAAAGGGACATGTAAAATGTTGTTCAGTTGTACATACAGAAATGTGTATAAAACATTTTGTTATTTTCTAAGAGTAGCACTGCTCTGGTTCTGTTTGTACGCCAGTGGGGAGAGAATAAAGAGGACAATTCACGGAACAGGTGAGCGTCTGGAAGTGCTGCTGAAAATGCTGGGGGCCATGGGGCTGGAAGAGGGCCTGGCCATCGGTGTGAGGGTGCGGTAGGACAGGGTTCGGCCTTTGCAGTGCTCGCAGGTGATTCCAGGAGAACCCGCTCTGCATAGTCTGGGGCTTTTGTCGCCATGGCTGGGGCCAGCGCTCAGCTTCTCTTTGAGTGTATCCTCCCATATTCTTCCTGCAGTAAACTGTGGGGGTGTGGACTTTTTCTGGTCTCTCAGAGTTAATTCTTGGAGATACAGGCTGAGGTTTGTTCCTCACTCCCAGACTTGTGAGGTGATTTAGGGAGGAATGACTTTCAAGGTCTTCTGGGGTTTTACCACCTTCTTCTGTGGGGTTCACCTTTTCCCTTACAAACAGCTCAAAGGGCTTTAAAGATCAACCAGAGACCTAAAGAAAGTGTACCTGGGGCTCTGTGAGTAGTGGGGCCATCTCTGTTTTTCCTGGAGGAAAATCAAGGAGAGAGGAAGGTTGGTAAGTTCTGATCATGGCCTGAATGAGTCATGGCGCAGGTGGGGCGGGTGGGGAGGCCAGCGGAAGAACCTATTTCCTTCCCTTCTACAACCCAGAGTGACCCAGTGGGGGAATGGTTTGGAGGTCAAGGCAGATGAGAATTGTTAGAGCTTGGTCTGTGTGTGTGTGTGTGTGTGTGTGTGTGTGTTTGTCTCAGGGTTTTCAGGCTTTCTGTGAGCTTGTTTCTGTTGTAAACTCCAAACAGATGTCTCTGGTTTGGCTACACCCGATCAGCTGGAAGTTGTAATAAGACGTTGCCAAAACTGTGCCTTCCTCAAATTATTTTTTTCCCTTTGCCCCTTTGGGCTCCATTTCCTGTGTTGCAGAAATGATCCCACTTCTGGCCTTCCCTGCTGTCCTGAGGCCACTCTGCTTTGTTTTCATCATAATTATGTTTTGGGCAGCTAGACCCACAGATCCTGAGGAGTCTGGAATTTGTTGGAACCATAGAGGGAGGGTGAAAGATTTTTTTCCTAATCAACAGGAGTGGTTTGGGCATAAGATTAGCTTTAGAAACAAAAAGCAAAGGGTGGATGGGAAATAACTAAAAAATACTCAGAACCACTTTTTTTTTTTAAGATTTTATTTATTTATTTGCCAGAGAGAGACACAGCGAGAGAGGGAACACAAGCAGGGGGAGTGGGAGAAGGAGAAGCAGGCTTCCCGCCGAGCAGGGAGCCCGATGTGGGGCTCGATCCCAGGACCCTGAGATCATGACCTGAGCCGAAGGCAGACGCTTAATGACTGAGCCACCCAAGCGCCCCTCAGGATCGCTTCTTAAGGGCATTAGCACAAGGTCCAGGCCTTTGAATCTGTTATATATATCTGTTTTGGTTTGGTTGAGAGTCCCTACCCCTCTCTCCAAATACCTCAGATACACATCATTGCATGAAATTTAAAACCCCTAGGTAGAGAGAGGTCAGGAGAGTCAGATCCTCCCCTCCCCAGATACTCACACTACATGCCTTCCATAGAGCTCTCACTGGACTGGCAGCCGGCTGTGTGGCCCATCACTATCTTACGTGACTGGATTTCACACTTGAAATTATTTTCACACATTGCCAAGTTCCTCTGCTCTTTGAAACTGATAAGAACATTATTATTTTTTTAAGGATTTTATTTATTTATTTGACAGAGAGAGACACAGCGAGAGAGGGAACACAAGCAGGAGGAGTGGGAGAGGGAGAAGCAGGCTTCCTGCCGAGCAGGGAGCCCGATGCGGGGCTCCATCCCAGGACCCTGGGATCATGACCCAAGCTGAAGGCAGACGCTTAATGACTGAGCCACCCAGGCGCCCCTGATAAGAGCATTGAAGAGGGTGAAAATTACATGGTTAATACTTGGTGGTGGGGCAGGGTCCCTGTGTCTTCATTCTTTTTTTTTTTTTAAAGGTTTATTTGAGAGAGAGAGAGAGTGTGTGTGTGTGGGGGAGGGGCAGACGGAGAGGGAGAGAGAATCTCAAGCAGACTCCCCACTGAGCGCGGAGCCTGATGCAGGACTCGATCTCACGGCCCTGAGATCATGATGTGAGCTGAAATCAAGAGCTGGGCACTTAACCGACTGAACCACCTAGTTGCCCCTATGTGTCTTCATTCTTAACCAGTTAATGGTCTAGTGACAATGCCAAAGTTGGCTTTTCTCTGTGACTGATGGGGGTGTGATGATTGGTCAGAAAGTTCAGACAAATGACATTTAAACCAACACCATCAATAAATGTAAGGCAACTGTCTCTTTAAAGTCTGATTTTTCCAGTTATCTGATTTATAAATAGGGAAGGGGGGCTTAGGGGTTGAGGAGGGAGGAAGAAGAAAATAAGCAGACTGCAAAAGGACCAGTTCCCTCCCTCACTCCTGGTGCCCTCCCCTTTCCTCCTTCCTCCCCTCTACTTTTTGGCTTTTATCCCCACTGCACCCCATAGCCCTCCGGCTGATGTAATTCTAGAAGAGATGCGAAGGTGATACATGATTCACCTCTTCTTACATCTCAGTCTTCCAGGGATGATATCACTAGTGTAAAAAGAGAAGTTTGAATGAGAAAAAAACAAATACTGAACACTAATTTGCTCCTGACATTCGGAGGGATAAGAGTGGTGTGCCCAAAGCAAAACTAAGTACTTAGATGAAACACACCTTCCAGGGAGCACCTGAGGTCTGGTTTACTCATCACGTCTAGTTTTTCCTTCTTGCGAGGTGAGGTTCATGTTTCTCCTTTGCGTAACCTGATGGTACTTTAAATGCAGTGAGACACTTTCCACATTCTTCCCCAGCCTAAGTAATACTCTGGGTCCAACAATGCACCATTGACTGCGTGAAAAATGAAGTGACTTCCGGCGGCAAGAGAGGTCTTGCCAGTGGCAGCGCGAGTCCACGGAGGGGGCGTTTCATCAACCGCAAAAACATCCTCCCACGTTCGCTTGTACCATTTGTGGTGTGTGTTGATGGGGAGCGAGGGAAAGGTAGGACAGTATAAAATAAACAGTAGTATTACAGACATTCTCAACACTTAACAGTTGCAGAGAACACCCGCTCCACGCACTTGCATGCTCCTCCCTAAAGCAAACCTCCCACTCACTGCCCCCAGAGTCAGCAGAACAGATTTTAGACAAATTAGAAAGCTTCTGTTAGACTGAGAAAGCACAATTCCCTCCCAGAGACAGAGCTGCTTTTTTTTTTTTTTTAAGATTTTATTTATTTATTTGAGACAGAGAGAATGAGAGACAGAGAGCATGAGAAGGAGGAGGGTCAGGGGGAGAAGCAGACTCCCTGCCAAGCAGGGAGCCCGATGCAGGACTCGATCCCGGGACTCCAGGATCATGACCTGAGCCGAAGGCAGTCGCTTAACCAACTGAGCCACCCAGGCGCCCGACAGAGCTGCTTTTAAGGGCCCTGCTCTTGAAAGGAGAGAGAACCGGCTGGTAGGACCCACCCCTGGCACCACACTGGAGATGGAAAAACCTCATGGGAGTCCACCAAGGATCACGAGAAACATAAAAGTTCTATTAGGAGCAAGTTGCCCTCATTTCTAGCAGGATTTAATAATATAATAAGCAGAACCCTTTCCTCCAAGTGGTACGCATCAGTGGTCCTCGCATCTGCTGGCAAGTGATGCACGACAGAGTGAGAAGTGTGTACACCCCGGGCACCTGGGAGCCACGTCTGACACGTGGGAAACGACTCCGGGCTCCCTGGAGGGCCAGGAGGCCGTGGGGTCAGGGCACTCTGGACCCCGGGCACCAGGTTTTCCTGCACATGGCCACATCTAAATCTGGCTTTATTGTCAGCTGGGGCCTTTCCTGCTCCTGCTGGCTCATCCGAGGCCACCGGCTGCTGGGGGCCAGCCCCCTATGACCTGCTAGGAGGTGACCCACTTTGAGCAGCTCTGAATAACCATCATGTTGGTGGCTTGAATGGCTAGGTGGCCTTAGAACTTAGCGCCCATTCCTTCCCCTCTCTAGGTCTGTTCAGTGGCACCAGGAAGAGTCCGTGTTTCTAACCCCCACAGAGGGTGGCCCTTCTGACAGCCTCCTCTTCTGCATGCCCTCTTCATCTCGGTCCCATCCCATTTCCTCCTGAAAGGCATCATTTCCCTCTGGCCTCTCTGATTGCCCAGCTTCCCGCCTGATCCTCTCTTTATTTCTCCTCCTTCCCACAAGCCTAACTCAGACCTTAAATCAAACCTAGAAGAAAAGAAAGCCCAAACTTGAAGGGACAAACAAATCAAACACACACTCATCAGTCAGCACCAATCCTGCAATCCCTGGGCATGCTTTGGCCCTGTCCCCCATTTACAGATGAACAAACTGAACCACAGAGGGGTGATGTCATGCTCAAGGTTACACAGGAGGGACCAAGACCCAAGGGTCTGAACTCTGAAACCCATGCTCTTTTCACATTCCTCCCATTCTTATGGCTTATAACCAGATTTTTAGCTTTGGGATGGCAGAAACTGGCAGTTGAATTTTTTTTTGATCCCCCTTTCTTTGGTACCTCTACATTTCATGCATGGTAGATGCTTGATGATAAACACTTGTCATGCCATTCCTAAGCATGCCACTCCTGCCACCAAGTGGGAATGAATATCTACTAGCTGCCTGCTGCTGGAGGTAGAAAGGGCAGGTGATGTCTTCCTGGCAAGAATGCTCCTGGTGGTGGGGTGGCGGCCCCCAGAGAAACCTGGCCTCCTCTTGCTTCTCCCCTGAGATCTGGTCTGGCAAGATCTCACCCTAGAAGAGCAGGTCTAGTTTGAGGGTGGGGGAGCTCTTCCCATTGCATCATGATTATTAATCATCCGTATCATTCCTGGTTGGCTGAATACTCCAAGGACCTCAGGCATCTCTGATTCACCAAACTTAACACAGAGCCTTGCACCTAGTTGGTACTCAGGAAACACTAGGGGAGGAGTAAAGGAGTGATTCTACTTCAGGTTAGGAGAATAGGTCTGATAAAGCTCAAGG